GACTGAAAAATGTTAGGAAACAGAATGCAGCAGATCATCAAGAAGATTATACACCATGACAAAGTGGGACTCATCCCAGGAATTCAGGGATGATACAACATACGCAAATCAGTGCATGTAATACAACATATCAACACAGCCAAAGGCAAAAATCACATGATCATCTCAATAGATGCAGAAAAGGCTTTGGATAAAAGTCCAACACTCATTCATGATGAAAACTCTACAGAAAATAGGAATAGACGGTCTTTACCTCAATCTAATAAAAGCCATCTTTCACAAACCAACAACCAACATCACACTAAATGGACAAAAACTGAAAGCTTTCACTCTAAAATCAGGAGCAAGACAAGGATGTCCACTGTTACCACTGCAACTCAATATAGTTCTGGAAACTTTAGCCAGAGCAATTAGACAAGAGAGAGAAAGAAAAGGAATAAGGAGAGGAAAGGAAGAAGTAAAATTATCACTACTTGCAGATTTGCAGTGATCTACTTACAGAGATCATTTACATTGATGGTAATAACTGATATGTACTGGCTTATCTTTGTCATGTTATTCTCCTGCTGTTGCTTTCCTGCTTTTCCCCTCCATTTAACTGCTTAACCTACTTGCTGGTATTTTTCTGTTGTTCTTGGAATTGTGGTCATTTTTGTCTCTTTCTAAAATAGCTTTCAGTACTTTTTGTAGAGTTGGATTGGTGGTCATGAATTTCTCCCACTGTTCTTTGTCTTGCAAGTATCTTCTTTCTCCATACTCTACAAAGAAGACCTGAAGGACTCTACAAAAGACTTCCAGACTTAATAACCAAATAAAGTAGCATAGCTGGATATTAAGTCAGAAATCAATAACACTCCTTTACAAACAACAAATTCACTGATGGAGAAATTAGGGAAACCACATCCTTCACAATAGTATCCAAAAAAATGAAATACTTAGGAATCAATCTAACAAAGGAAGTAAGTGATCTATAAAGTGAAAAAGGAGATCAAAGAGGATATCAGAAAATGGAAAGATATCCCTTGCTCATGGATAGGAAGAACCAACATCGTGAAAATGTCCATACTCCCAAAACTATTATACAGATTTAATGCAATCCCAATCAAAATAACAGCGGCATACCTCACAGATCCAGAGAAACCATTCCTAAAATTCATTTGGAAACAGAAGACAGCAAGAATAGCAAATGCAAGCATGGGCAACAAACACAAGACAGGAGTCATCACAATCCCTGACTTGAACTTATATTATAAGCTACTGTGATAAAATCAGCAATATAGTAGTAAAAAACAGACCTGGAAAAAAAGGAAACAGATTAGAAGATGCAGACACAACTACAACCATACTCAGCCACCTTATCTTGGACAAAGGAGTCAAACATGTTCACTGGAAGAAAGATAGCCTCTTTAAGAAATGGTGTTGGAAAAACTGGTTCTCCCCATGCTGAAGACTAAAACTAGATGCATAGATCACCATGCACTAAACTAATAAAGAACTGAAAAATCAGGCCCCCAAAATTCAAAGACGTAATCCAAAAATGGGCATCTGAGATGAGTACACACTTCTCAGATGAAGAAAGTCAAATTGCAAACAAATATATGAAAAAATGTTCAACACCATTGGTCATTTGAGAAATGCAAATAAAAACAACACTGAGATTCCATCTCACCACAGAAAGAATGGCTATTATCAAGAAAACAACCAATAACAAAGGCTAGAGGGGCTGTAGGGAAAAAGGAACCCTTCTGTACTGTTGGTGGGAGTGTGCACTAGTACCACCACTGTGGAAATCAGGGTGAAGGTTCTTCACAAAAATAGGATTAGAGGTCCCATTATTCCCCTTCTGGGTATTTTCCCTAAAGAATTAAAAACACTGTACCACAGTGATATATGTGCACCCATGTTTATAGCAGCACAATTTGTCATAGCTAAATATTGGAAACAACCCAAAAACCCACCAACCGAGGAATGGATAAAAAAGATGTGGTATTTTTATACGCATGAGTACTACTCAGCTATAAAGAAGGATAAACTTGAGGCTTTTATAGGTAAATCAGCGCAGCTTGACATCATACGCATAAGTGAAATAACCCAGACTCACATGTGTAAAGATTATATTGTCTCACTAATGTAAGAAACTGAAAGAGCAAATAAGACCTAATCCAAAAATGGGCATGTACAACAGATACTGTGAAAGGGGAAGAAACTGCTCAAAAGGAAAGAACCACTGGAATGGGGGAAAGGAGAAAAGAAGAAAGGAGAAACAAATATATTTATATACACACACACACACGATACATAATTATACTACTAATTTCTATTAGTTCATTGAAAATAATGGTTTGTGTTTATATTGTTTGATCAACTTTTCATGCCTGTATCTTGTAATCTGAGCAAGTACTTTGAAAGTAACAATACACAATATATTAACCATTGCTAATCTCCTACTATCTTGTTTTGAAATTCTGTATCATTGTTTCTATTGTTTTTTCTGTTTAAAAAAAAATCAATACACTCTACTGCAAAAGTGTGCTTAGCTTCAGTTGTCATGTCCAAGGCATTCTTCATACATGACAACAGCATATGCCATGCACACATCTTCCTTACACCGATAGTACATGCTTAGCTTTCTTTTCCTATGTGTCACTTCTCTCTTGTTCTTTTCAGAAGCTTCCTACTATATTGTACAACATACACTTAACAGGGAAACAAGATATCAATAAAATAAAATATCAAGCATGTAATGAGTTCTTAGAATAGACATCAATGTCTTCATATCAGTTGTTTACGTGCTTATAAAATCTAAAAGATAACAGCAAAAATAAAACCCTATGTGGTACAATGTAAAGAAAAATCTACCAGAGAAATAAACTTTGCTTCAAATGTCACACTCAAGGCAGTCTTCGTACATGACAACTGCATGTTCCATATGTAAGTATCACTTACACTGATAGCATATGTTTTCTTTTCCTACCCTTAACTGTAAGGTACAACTGACATCTTTGTTTTCCTACTCTTGCTATGTTTCTGTGGTGCTGCACCTGCCTGTGCACCTGTGAGCTCACCAGAGTGCTCCACAATGTCCTTGCATGTTCCTTGGGCAGAAAGTTTGTTTTTCCTCTGCTCTGTATAATCTCTTATGAGCTCCAGTCCCAACCCTCTAAGACAATTTGTCTATGATATTTTGCACTTATTTTTTCTTTGTAAACAATCAAACTATTTATTCCACAGATGTTTAGGATTGAGTAAAACACAACCATTGGCCAATGCTTTGTGTTTCAAGGGACACCACAGTGCTGCACAACTCATCAACATCTACTCCACCTTTGGCTTTGTTGTAGCAAGTTTTCATCTCACGCTTTCGTTCTGTCAAGGTTTCCCCATCAATATTTCCATCATGGTGAAATGTTAACATCAGCAGTACCAGTTTGTTTTTCTTTTCTATATACAGGCCAAAGTTTTATCTTTCTGAAATCCAAAGATTGTGTAAGCCTCTTTTGAAATTACGGTATTTCACTTGGGATTTCTGCTCTGTTTCTGCACAGTTTCTGCACTGGTCAGCCTGTGCTCTGTTAGCACTTCTAGTATCAACTGGAAACTGACAATCAACTGTTGAACGTCACACTCTGATTACTCGGGGAGATGAGTGCAGCAAGCCTTTTCACAACATCATTTGGTCTATCACTATATGAATAAGGACATGACGGCTGAGTTCCAGAATAAATTTTTAAGTTGAAAGTATAACAAATCTTCACATCTACAGGCTCATACAATTTTATGCCCTATTTGGACCTATCACTTTTCAATAAGTCTTTTACATTGTTGTATTCACCATGAGAAAGCCCTGCTATATACAGCTGACCTATAAATGCTTTCAGTTCAGCTAGTGAGGTGTCATAATAAATACATTCTTTAATATGGCTATTGGTACATACAGAATGTTTTACTTGCAGTTCGGCTTTTGTATATTTCACAGCATAGTGTCTGTTATAATATCCAACACTGAATGACAGTGCTGGCATTCTGTCCAATACTTTTCACCCCTGCCAAGTACCTCACTATATTTTTGGACCTAGTCCTAACATTGGATCATTCCATTTGGTCGTGTGGCCACTTCGCAGCACTTCAACTAGTCAAATATGTATCCACGTTGCTGTTTTCTTCATCATTTGAATGTACAAGGTATGCACTCCCTTGTCTGTATCAGTTGATGCTTGCTCCATTTCACTGTAACAGGAATTTTGGCTCACATGGCCAATGTCAAATTCATCATCATCATCCTCATACACCTACACCACTGTTCTGTTATGAAAGCACGTGTTTTACCATAATGGATCATCTTCATCATCCATGCATGAGTAATGTGATTCCACTTACGACCTCCTCCAAACTGGCAAATCTGGTTTTTAACGTGCCATTGTACTGAATAGAGCTACTTCTACCAGAAAAATTAAAAGAAAACTTTTTTTAAAAAAAATCCTAGAGTGGTTTGGGTTTCCCGGACCCTTTGTGATGCTCAGAAAAACATATAGAAAACAAAGTCACATGGAGCATAATGTAAACAAAAATTTCACTTTGCCACTTTTGCACACATGCACACACCTTGTTATTTGTCGTATCAAGTGGATAAACACATCAATTGCTTCATGTATTCCCTAAGGGAAAGGTACTGAGATGCACAGCTGACTACTATTATGCTAAAGTACAAATTTACAGTAGAAAAGTAAGGAGTGGCCCTCCTGGACCCACTCTTATGTTTCCTGGGTAATGACAATGTGTCTATTTACTGTAATAAATTTTTAAAATGTAAACGTTCATTGTAATTTTTATCACATTTCCTATGTCAAAATAAATATGAATTAAACAATTTAAAACAAAATAAATATGAATTAAACAAATTAAAATAAATATTAAACAAATTAAACAATTTGAAACTTTAAAGTTGATATTTAAATATCCATTTGTATAATACACTATTGTAACTTAAAAGTTCTCTTTACCTTTATTGTCTGTCTGCTTGTCTGTAATCGTTGATCAGACACTTGCTGTTGATGGAGAAGTTTTTCACTGACTTCTTTATATTCTTTAGCAGACAATTCTGCTGATTTTTTGGCATTTTGGAGTATGCTGTTTTGTTGTTGCAAGGATATAATCCGGTCTCGTAATAAAATAATATTGCTACTTGATTTCTGGGCAGTTATATTTTTATACTTTTCTCTGTTAACTATATAAAAATAATATTCATAATATTTTAAATATCAGAGTAAACTTTAAAAGACAATGTATTACTAAATTCATGTATATATATTCTTACCTCTGGTTGGAACTACTGTATGTATACTCTTACGCACATTATTATTCTTCTTTTGAAAAGTCATTTTTTTAATACTCTTGTAATCCTAAATTTAGAAGTTTAAAAAAATTGATTATTATTAAACACCAATGTCAAATGACCTGTCTTTGTCACTTTCTTATCACTGAGACAAAGTACCCAACACCCACAAATTACAGGAGCAGAGGTTTGCTTTGGCTGACAGTTTTTAGAGGTTTCAGTCCATAGCCGGCTTCCAGGCAAAAGTGACACAGTGGAAGGGCCTGGGCTGGGTGGAAGAGAGCTGCTCACCTCACAGCAGTCGGGACTGATGAAAGAGAGGACCCTGGCAGGAGATGGATCCTTCCAGATCAGGCCCCTAGTGAACCATCTCTTTCAACGAGGTCCTACCTCCTAGCAGCATATTCAGCTACAGATTCATCAGTGAATTAATCCACTGATCCAATTACCTTCCAAAAGCCTCGTCTCTCAACATGAGACTTTTGGTGGACATTCTAGCTCTAAACCATGACATGAATTGACAAAATAAGTAATGTACCCTTATTTAAAATGAAATTTAAGAATTTAGAGTTAAAGAAAAGTCCGAAAAATAAAATTCTATAACTGACACCTCTATTATAGAACTCACAAATAATTTAAATTTATGCTTAACAGAAATAAAGTTAATTAAAGGTTGAACTAGTATGCTGAACACATAGATACAAAATTAACTCAAAAGAAGAATGTAACCTAAGGACAATTTTTTTTAAAACTAGGATTAAATACAGTAACAACAACAAAAATAAAATATGAATATTTAATAATTTATTTTCTGGGAATCTGGGTCCTTTTCTCAGACTTTTCTTGACTAGATATAGAGAAATGATGTTGAGAGTAATAAAGTAACTTTATCTGAAGTTACATGTTTTTTCCTGCCATTATTAAAATGACTCTGACTAAATTAAATCATGTAGCTTTAGTTCAAAAATATTTTACCAATTTGAAAATTTTTCACAAAGCACAATTTTTTTTTTGTTTTGTTTTTTTGTTTTTTTGTTTTTTCTCCGGTACCAGGAACCGAACTCACGACCTTGCGCATGCCAGGCAGGCGCTT